TTAAAAGCCACAGTGTATGACGGAGATGTTAACCATACGTCGAACAAAAACAGCATTCGCTAAAGTTACGGATGTTGAGAGACGAGGATATCCCTACACTAACAGCGTATTGTAAATTTTACACTTTTTTCATCACAAAAAAAATGCTATTTGAAGTTTTTCGTGAAAAGTGGTTACATTTTCGTTGATTTAAAATCAAAAAGTGCCCCTCACGGAATTATCAAATTATACAAGCAAGGCTGTCCAAACAATCGGTTGCAGTCCAACTGCCTGTGTTACTAAAGAAGTATTCTCATACGCTAAACGGGCAGATTTGCCGGACCTTTCGATATTGGGCTGTTTATATCTCCAGTTTATATCCGATGCATGTGATTCATCTGATCCATGATCGCTCAAGTGTTAAAAAGCTTTTCTTTCCGTGGAACGTAATTGTAGCTATTTATTTGAAATGCAATTTGCGCTGTAATTGGAGAGATAAACAAAACATTTCAAATAACTGGCAAAGTGCCGATCTGTTAATAAAAACTGTGCAATCGTCGTGTACACGTCTAGTGTTTCAATCTCATTTATGTCAACGCTGTACACTTCAACACGACACAGTGAAAAGCGTTTAATGCCATCGAGATCGTTTTTTGCTGCCAAAAGTCGGGCCATCCTCTGAACTATTGCTGCCATCTTGCTTACAAGCTCCTGAAAAATTTTTGAAAGATTTTTTTTGCAAAAGGCATGGAAAATACCACTTCATGTCTTCAAGTGATTTTTAGCGCACGGATTATAGGCCTTGGAGGTATATCTGCAGATGGAAGATCCTGATAACTTGTAGAACCAATACCTGTTACTGCTGCGATTTCCTGATTCACAGCTTTGGCGGCCTGCTCAAGTTTTATTTTCCATTCCGGAGTGGGATCAGTGGCCGGTGCTCTGCTTGCCGTCCATTCATCGCTGGAAGACGGTCGAAAAGTACTGGTGAAGGACGACTGAAACAAAACTTTTTCTGCCTAAAAAAGTTCCATATTTTGTTCTTCAGTCAGTCCCTTCTACACTTGCAAATTCCCAATAACTACTCCGCTACTTCGAACAGCGATTGTTTCATCGTCATGCAGCTTCGTTAGCGCCAGCGCAGTTGGCAATCTTCCATATCTGTTGTGAATGAAGTCGCTTCTTATGGACAACTTGCCGATGACGATTTTTGCATTTGTTTCCCAATTATTATTATTCTTCGTTCTTTGAGGAAAACTACTTAATGAATGCAGTTCTACTGCCATTAACACAATAAAGAAAATCACTGGTAAGTCAACCTTTAAAGCAGCTCTCATTGTCTGCAAACGGTTTGTGGATCCATCCACTCCTTTTGCCACATCCAGTACACTTTCAGTTTGTTTTGATTTGCTTTCAAAATTCAGCGCTCGAGCTGTGGCGCTTGCACTCGTGCCTACATGCAACCCTAAAAATTAGTGAAATAAATCATAAGTGGAAATGAAAATTAAAATTCAGTTTGAGTACGCCTTTTCCGCACAGCTTATTATAATTGGCCAACGCATGGGCTGCCCGTGCGAAGGTGCGTTTTTGCATGGTTCCCCGCAGTTTTTATTGCTACCGGCACCGGTTTTTTCGGCAAATGCTTCTAGC